GCCGCTTTTCTTTTAGCCGGGTTTCCATTTCCCTCTCCCGATCTGGCTAATCTACATGCCTCCGTCGAAGGAGGCATGTAGTCTAGACACACCCATAGTGACCAGTGCAAGATGATCAGAGGGAATGAACACAACAGGGCGATTTTCAAGTGATCCATCTCCTGTCATCCTCTTCCACTTCTGGAAATTGTAGGTTTAGTGACACCCTGAGAATGGTGTTTTATTCCTGACCAGTGGTACTAGCGGTTGATGGACCAATTCTCCATGATTTTATCTAATTCTTTTTTGAACCCCCTTTTGGACATCACAGCATCCTCTGGCAACAAGTTCCATAGGATGACTATGTGTTGTGTGTATTTGTTTGTTTCAAATCTATTGACTATTAATATAATTGGGTGACCCCTGGTCCTTGTGTTTTTGTGAAAGGGCAAATAATGCTTTTTTATCCACTTTCTCTACATCATTCATGATTTTATAGACCTCTATCAGATTCCCCCTTAGTCGTTTCTTTTCTAAAATGAACAGCCCCAATCTTTTCAATCTATTTTCATATGGAAATTGTTCCATACATCTAATTATTTTGCTGACCGTCTCAGTATCTGAACCTTTTGGTCTATCTGTCTGCCTGTTCATCTGTGAGTCTGTTTGTTGAAAAACTCCTCCTAAGTGGTAAGAGCTAGGGGTACGTCTACACTACAACGTTAATTCGAACTAACTTAGTTCGAATTAGTTAATTCGAACTAAGCTAATTCGAACTCACGGATCCAGACTAAAAAACTAGTTCGAATTAGCGTTTTGCTAATTCGAACTAGCATGTCCACATTAAGTGGACCCTGAACCAGGCTTAAGGATGGCCGGAAGCAGTGCCAGCAGGGCATCAGAGGAGGACTTAGAGCGTGGAGCTGCTGTCTCAGGCTAGCCGAAGACTGTGCTTAAAGGGTCCCGACCCCCACCCCGGACAGACAGTTCTCAGGGGTGTCCCGCTTGCAAAGCAGTCCTGGCTTGGATTGCCCG